TGTGTGTGTGTGTGTGTGTGTGTGTGTAGGTTTGGCAGAGATTCTTCGGGAGCGCGCAAAGGCGCGCCCGCGTTCTGGAGAGCGCGGGGCTCACTCACCCCATTGGGAAGAGAGCGAGGAAGGAGCGCGCGCGCGCACGAACGCACACACCAACACACACATCCCACACACACGCACACACAGACACTACCCAGACACACACACATATCCACGGAAGAGCCACTGGAGAGGAAGCCCAGCGGCCGGGGCGCACGCGAAAGCGCACTCACACGTTCCCACCAGTTCTATTTTTCTCTCACGCACGCACGCGAGCGCACACACACACACACACAGACACACTGACCCGCACGCACTCACATACAAACTCGGGCACGCAGGCACTCACCCGCACGCATAGAGATACAGTAACTCTCCCCTCTCTCTCTCTTCTCTTCCCGCGCTTCCCCCAGACCTTCGTCACTCTCTCTTCTTTCCTTTCGACGGAGTCCGGCTTCTTCCCCTTCGAAACAGCGATTCGCCATCCTTGGCCAAGGAGAGAGGGAAGAAAAAAGAAAGAAAGAAAGAAAGAGCGGGCGAGAGATTCATTTCTCCCCCCCCTCATTCCTCAGTCGCGGCTCTTCGCTCAGGTATTTTGAGAGCCGGAGGAGGAAGGAAGGAAGAAGAAGAAGGAGAAAAAGAAGAAGAAGAGAGAAGGGAGGCGAAGAGAGGAAAGGGAGTAAGCGGGTTTTTTACCCACAGCCAAAGAGCCAAAGCCCGCCAACAAATCTGCAGTAGGGCAAGTGGATCTCTTTTTGAGTTTGCCTTCGGGTTCGCCTCTTCCTCCTGGTTTCTCTGCTGTGGGGTTTTAGACTGTTTTCAAGTGAAACAAAACAAGCGAGCTGCTGTTTTAAAAAAAGAAAAAATAAGCCCGTTTTATCCTTTCCCCCCTTTTTTTTCCTCCTGCAGTGTCCGTCCCCCATCTTAATCCGGTTTGGATTTTTTTTTTTAATTCCCCCATCCCTACTTCACTTTATCTTTGGTTCGGTTTTATTAGATCTGGAAGGAAGGCTTTGGCCAGAACCGAGTGCCTCTAACCCCCCCCCTCCCTCACCCCCACCCCCAAAAATCCCAGCATTTTAATTTTTATCCCGCCCCCACCCCTCTCTCTCTCTCTCTCTCCTGCTTTTGATTTTGAATGCCAGCGGAGGAAAAATGGGCAACGATGCTTCCGCCAGAAGGGGAATGTCTCCGTGCCTCTTTTTGGGACATGTGCTGGTGGTGCTAGGATCTTCTTAGAGACATAGCTGCCTGCTTTCGGAGTGGAAGGTAAGGGTCCGTGCGGGGGGGGGGGGATGGAAAGGTGGTTGGGGGCAGTTAAGCTAGGGTGGTGGGTTGGGAACCTTAGCCTGTTTCCCCCCGCCCTTCTTTTTTTTGTGCTTGGGAAGCAAGGCGAGGTGAGATAATAGGACTTGACACATAACCTGCAAAAACCTCTTCATCCCCCGGTTATCAAAAGTTAGAAAAACACTCCTTGGCAAGTGGGCAAGGAATCGGGGATTGATAGCCCAGCTGCAAGAGGAATCTTGCCTCCTCCATGGAGGTGAATGGACGTGGTGGTTTCACAGAAGGAAGAGGAAGAAGAGGGGGGATTGCTCGGGTTAATGGGAAGTTTCAGGGAGGTCTGTGGCTCTTCCTTGGTGGAGCCAATCTGTGGAGTGATGGCGCCGTCTAGGTTTGATTAAACTAGTATCACCTGGGGTGGGGGAGAGAGAGAGAGAGAGAGAGAGAGAGAGAGAGAGAAAGAGAGAGGGAGAGGGAGAGAGATTGTCTTTCAGTGGAAAAAACTGAGTTCCCATGGATCTGAGGTCCTCTGGTATCAAACATTTGAAAACAGCTTTCTCTTTCCCCATTTCATGGTCTGAATCATGTGAAACTCTTGCTTCTGAGATGACTGGCATTTGCTGCATCGTTTCCCCAAATATTATGTTCTGCTGTATTTGGTGCGTTTAAAAGACGGCCCCATTGTAAGAATAGTCTCTTTCCTGATCAAACAGGAAAGCCAAAATAATATCCATTGGATTATAAGAGCCTTAACAGAACACAAGCCAGCCAGTAGAAGCTCTGGCTGTTTTTAAGAAATCGTTTCCCTAGTGTTTCTTCCTGCAGTTCCTCAGATTTTTATAAAATGTCTAAATAAGGCCAAGACATTCTGAAATAGATGTGCTTTGCTAATGGAGTTCCCCAAAGTTATGCTTTTAATTCCACATTGTCTTTCAGTGCAAATAATAACAGGGTTGCAGTGCTCACAAAAGTGCTCATTTGTAACAACATTTGTAGAGGATCATCATATCCAGGGTTTGTTCATGAGCAAGTTCCTTCTCATCCTTTCAGCCTCATTTTGCAAAGAAGCCATTTGTTGCTTATAATGCTCAGCAAAGAGAAAAGGGATTGTCATTTCTTGGGGAAGCCTAATTTCCACAATGCACACTGCTCCCTACCCTGTTGTTTTTCTTAGGGAACTTACAGATTTAAAGAAAACTAAGGCATTTGCTTTCCTCCCGTTCATGTTTAGAGCTTGTGGTTTATAATCTGGGCAGCTCAAAATCTCTTGATTTGTTCAGCATTACGCAATTGGGGGAGGGAGATGCTGCCTGGTCATTCAGAGTGGAGATAAAAAAAAAGCTGGAAAGAATAAAAGGAACTAATTACATTTATTAACTGTATTTATGTTGTCACTACATAAATAATAAAAAAGTGCTAATTCATTTAGGAATATTAACTTGACATCACAGAGAACTGGTCACCATTAACTAAAGAAATAAGCAACTTCACAAATATGACTGCTGGAAATGTCTTCTCTCACACGGTTTCTCTTAAATGTTCTGTAAGTGAATGTATTTGCAATTCACATCCTTTAGAAAGAGATACATAGAAATTGCAGCTACTGTGAGGATTAAAATGCATGTGCTATTTTCAGGATAGAATTGATAAGAGAAGAAATGCCACTTATTACCCAACACACATATTTGAAAAAAAGCATCAGTGTGGGATTGTTTAAGAGGGAAGTTGTATCTCAAGAAAGCAAGTAGCCCCTTTAATTTCTATTGGGAATTCACTCTATATATTCCACATGGAGTGAATTTCAGAGACATTTCAGTATTTGGAGTACTGTAACTTGCTCTCCTACTGATAGAGGGGAGAAAGTTTTTCTCAGAATTAAATGATCTATTCAGATTTTTTTTTAAAAAAATATTAATATACTTAATCTACTATTCTAGTGACAACCATATAAATATAATTCCCTAAGTATAGGAAAGAGTAAATTCTGCATTTTTATGACAATGATTCATAATAATTGTTCAAAGTGACAATAACAGTAGAAAAGATGCTGAATAACAATAGTTGCTCCCAATTTGTCTCCTTATTGCATGAAAATACTGTATAGAAGAGCTATATAAAAATGATTTCTGTTCTGTCTGATACAGTTTGTCATTAAAATAATCAGAGCCTGCCAACCTGAACTTGTGCAAAACAAAAAAAGACATATTTGTGTTAATAATATAACAAACGTTATTTTTTTTAAAAATCTGGAAAAGCAAATTAGTCAGCCAAATTGACCACATGGTGGCACTATTCACCCAGCATCCAACAATTTCTTGAATAAAAATAATATATTTAAAACTATTTTTAAGGGGGAAATAACATATATATTCTAAATGGAATCCTGAAAAAATATCTGGCTGCAATTTTAGAAGACATTTGAGTTTCATGAAGCATTTGACCTGCATTCTTGATTTCCTCTCCTCTTCTGCAGGCCAAATGACATAGGATGAAGGCTGTTCGTAATTTGCTGATTTATATATTTTCCACCTATCTCCTGGTTATGTTTGGATTTAATGCTGCCCAAGACTTCTGGTGTTCAACGCTGGTGAAGGGGGTCATTTATGGATCGTATTCTCTAAGTGAAATGTTTCCCAAAAACTTTACCAACTGCACATGGACGCTGGAAAACCCAGATCCAACCAAATATAGCATTTACCTGAAATTTTCCAAAAAGGACTTTACTTGCTCTAATTTTTCCTTGCTGGCTTATCAGTTTGATCATTTTTCCCATGAAAAAATTAAGGATCTCTTAAAGAATAACCATTCTATAATGCAGCTGTGTGATTCCAGGAATGCTTTTGTATTTCTGCAATATGATAAGAATTTCATTCAGATACGTCGAGTCTACCCCTTTGAGTTCATAGGATTACACAAAAAGGAAGATGATAAAAAGTCTTTCTTTGAATTTTTGGTTTTGAACAAGGTGAGCCCAAGCCAGTTCGGTTGCCATGTATTATGCACTTGGCTGGAGAGTTGCTTGAAATCTGAGAATGGGAGAACCGAGTCCTGTGGGATCATGTATACAAAATGCACCTGCCCTCAACATTTAGGAGAAGAAGGGGGAAATGACCACTCCATGGTGTTGCTCAATAATGTCGTATTGCCGCTGAATGAGCAGACAGAAGGCTGTCTCACCCAGGAACTGCAGACCACCCAGGTCTGCAATCTCACACGGGAAGCCAAGCGGCCACCAAAGGAAGGTAGGTGGTCTTCAAAAGGGTCTCATTGTCCCACTTCCCCTTCGTGTAACAAATTTAAATGATCTCTGTAAGTCAAACTGAGTTGCACTCCACACCAGTTGCTGCATGAAAGGATTTCTGAAGATCTGCAGTTGGTCATTCTCTAGATGCCTTCCAAGAGGGAGGATCTCATTTTGTTCTTTTAATGTAATATGTGAATAATCTTCTTTTTTAAAGAAAAAACAATCTAGCTTTCCTTTTCTATTAAATTAGGACTTGTGATTTTATTCTCCAGTAAACATAGAACTATGCTGACAGGTTGGTTATCAAGTTACGTGTCTCTCTCTCTCTTATTGCAAGTGCCTTCCTGCACGTGATTATTCACCTGTGACCTTTGCTGTGGTTTTGCAAGGAAGGTATTTCGAAACGCAATCAATAATAAATGCTATTGAAAGTTAAAAAATCCAAATAGACTAGGATCACAGAGGTTGAGGGAATGGGTAATCTTGACTCCCAATTTGTTAGTCATCATTGACCTAAGGTTAGTATTACTGTGCAAAATGGTGTTAAAAAGAGGATGACTTCTGAGATCTCCCTTGGTCACTTGAGATTAGGAACCATCTATTAAAGGCCTTTAGTGGTACTGGATAAATACCAGGGAATCCTAGGTTATCTTGGCTAGCAACCACATTCAAACATATTTAACATCTCCGAGTGTGTAAAACCGGAAGCTCATTTGCTCCTATCCCAGACAGGAAAAGTTCCAGAAGAAACATTTATGTTCTCAATATGGTAAAGTATATGGCAAAATGGAGACTTAGATCATAGCCTACCTGTTTAATAAAGTGGATGGTGGAAGCTTTGGGGATGATGATGATGATAATAATAATAAAGCTTTCTAGATGCTAGCCATTTAAAATTCATTCGATCACCTTTCTCCTTTAACATGCCTTCCTGGCAACTCATGAACAAATACAAAGAAGATGATGTGGGCAATTTCTCAGAGAAATGAAAGAGTGAAATGTTAGGGATGTGCAGTGGAAGCTCTTAAATCTATGGAAATGTGTCGAGATAAGGGGTGCCAATAACATTACCATTCTAAATGGCTGAGTACATGGGCTTATGAATAGAGATTTATTGAACAAATGATATTTTTTTCCTGGTAAATTAATACATGGGTGCCTGGAACCAAGGAGAGAGGGGAAAAATAAGAGATTGGGGAAGGTGAGGAACAGAGGGAGAATTTTCTTCCTTATCCAGCCTTAGCTCCCTGTGATAAAGAAGGTTGCATTTTCATGCAGAAAATGTTTTCCTTTCCCCTGTTTCTACATGGTCACAAAGCTCTCTGTCTGTGGGGAAGCAGAGCCAAGCTACTGGTCTCTGCAATAGAAGTTGCCTTTGTAAAGGAATGCAAAATTGACACGTTGTTCTGTGAGGATTTTCTTTAAGGGCAGCCAAGGCTGAGAGTTGTGGGAGAGAAAAAAAAGTGAAGCTGCTCAAACAGCAGAGGTGCCAAAGATACTTTTCTGGTTGGGCACAGGGGGAGAGTAACTCGGTTATAGTCCAGCTAAAGGACAATGCAGGTTGATAGCTTCAAATAAGGGGTGGAGAGGAACAAAATGGGTTCACAGAGTTGATTTATCAATGAGAAAAAGGTCAATATTTTATATATTCTACAGCAAGGGTGGGGGGGAGAGAGACTAGAATGTGATTTTAAATTATTTATTTATTTTTCTCTAAAGACCCCTTGGAAGCCCTTTTAAGGGCAGGGATGGTATTTAACATCATTCAACATTAATACATCTCCCTTAGAATAGGAAAAATGTGTCCCATATTGTGAAGCTTGAAGGTAACCTTTAAGGCAATTAAACCATAGAAACCATATATTGGCATCGGAAGGCTTTAATTGTTTTGGGGAACAGTCATTTAACCCATTCCTGATGGCAACAGGAAAAGCAGTCTTCTTTTTACCTGCCTCACTTTCCAAAGACCAGTTGTTGTTGTTTTTAATAAAATACCAGCAGCTGGCAAACTAATTGCCTGTTTACCAAAACTGAGTTGGTGGGTGGATAGATGGATTTATAGTTAGTTTGCTGATTATGCTTGCGATAGATGGATAAGATAGTTCTATGTTTGATGGAGATTGTGACTAATAGGCTGCTTTGATTGGTTTTAGTTGGAAATAGTTGGTCTTATTTGGAAATAGCCACAATTGAAGCTTTAAGAATGTTACCCTGATTGTAAGAAACACCCTAAAAAAGGGTGTATGGCGCCTGGAATCTCACCCAGTAGAGGCAGATCTAAAGAACTGCACCTTTCACGTTGTGGTTTCAAGTGTTGTTAAGTCACGTCAACAGTCTGATATCTGTTTTATCCATGGTAAATGATTGAGCTTTCATGTTTGAGAATGAGGCAGTAGGATTTCCTTCAAAGTAAAATAGGTTTTAAAGTAATGCGTGTGGCAATCTAAATATTTGTATACAAAAAATAGTTTACTTGGTGTTTCCACAGAAAATGTTTTAGATTAGACTGAAAGCTGTTACACTTTGGCAAATTGTATTTGATTTGTCCCAGAGAGCTTTATGTAGAGGAATCATTCCTTAACTGTGAAGGCCACACAACAAGATTATGTGTGTGCCTTTTTGACTGTTCAATTTGAGGAAGAATTAAATTTTAATTGAGAAGAATCCCCTCTTTTGAATATACTTCTCTCAGCATATTAAGTAACAATACTTAGGAAATGAAGATGTATATGTAATTTTGCCAAATACGTTTCTATTATATATTTTTCTCTAGCCCGGTTAAGGTTAGCTGTCTAACTTTAAATAGTACAAATGAAATAAAAAACAGATTTTCATAATTCTGTGCTTCATATGCTTGAATAGTTTATCAATACAACTGAAATACATGTAAATTAAATATTTTTAAGTAATAAAAATTTTAATGCCATGAACATTCATTATACTGTTTATTGCATAAAGTTTTCAATGGAATAAGACAACTATAAAATGATATTTTTGCTTAGAAATAATAATACTGACATAGGATTAGATTTGTGAAAGAATATATAGATAACCTTTACTCTGGAAATGAAATCATGCTGTGTATTTTGAAAACTGTGCCAGAAGGTCCCACAAAGCCCCAGATTTTGGAGGTTTGCAGAGGTGATCAGATTGTTCATTCTTCATTTTTCTGATCTGATATTCTATTTATAAAAAGATTTAAATGGATACTACTAATGATTATTGTTTCACTGATATAATGCTTAAAGCATGATGAAACTTTCTTGTAAGAGCTGGTAATTGTATTACTCAAAGATCTTTGATACCTTATAAAGAAACTTTTGCATTTAATTAAACGGATGCAAAAGAAGAAAGACTAAAGGATGAAGAAAACTCCCATGATAACAAAGGGCATTGTAGCTCAACAAAAAAATGCAAAAGCAGATGAGTAACGGGGGGGGGGTGTAACTAGGGACGATGAAGAGAATCAAGCAAAATTTTTGTTTGTTCTCCTGAATTGATGGAATAGATGAAAATAAAGTGATCCTGTATTCTGTGCTTGAATAGTTATAATAGTTGATTCAGTATATAACTAAACTATGACTTGGTTTTCAAAGCATGTAGACAGATTGGGCACCCACCTGAATCGTTTTAAAAATAGATTAGTATCTTGATGGAGATGGATGACAGTGGTTGTTCTACTCTCAAAGCCAACTGCCCGGGAACTGAGTAGTAGTGATTAGGTTACTCTTGCACACATGTCCTGCTTACTGGCTTCACATAGCATCTGTTTTCAATGGAGGTATAATGTTGACTAAATATGATTTTGATTCTTATTGTTGAGGTGAAATATTAACTGGATTAACTGTGTAGTGTGTATTGCCTGAAAAGTTGTCTGGAATGCAGTTCGTGAATGTTTTAATCATTCATTTTTATCAGAGAGTTGAGTTTTTAAATTTTCTTTTTCAAAAATTAAACCATGTACTATGGAGTTAACTTTATAAGAATTCTGGTATGTAGGGTTTGGGTGACAAAATGTAGGAAATGGTTGTTCTTTTCAATAACAGGTTCTTCTTTAGTGCCTGTGTTTGTTTATTTAAGGGTATCTTTTAAGATGAAATCTGCAAAGTTGCTTACCAATTCATAAAAAAAATCACAGTTTGTTTTGAGTATTCACATGAATAAAAAGAAGAGGTATAAATCAAATAAATAATAGACCATTAACACCCAATAAACAACTTAATAACTAGTAAAATTCAAACAGTAGGAGTGTAACAAACTAGATCAATCATATATTTAATCAGGCCATCAAGAAGCCCAAATAAATCTAGTTTGGGTCTTGGAAGCATGAGCCTTCTTCCATAATGCTGGCACCATCATTGAAATGTTCATATTCTTTTTACTGTTTTCATACAAAAACAAGATGAATACTTTCTTTGGATGACTAGAGGTATTGACGGTAGAGTAATTTAGGACACATTATTTTACATGGTGCACAAATCTACAGTTAATTCCTTGGGAGAATGCAAAAATGTTGCAAAAACTAAACAAGAAAACAGTGGCTTTATTCAGTTCCCAGATTTATAACATACACAAAAAACTGGATATTGAATTCCTAAGGCAATTGCACATATTAAATGACATTGCAGTAATCTTTTTTTAAAAAAAATATATTGAATTTTTGAATTACTTCTATATTCTCCTGTGTTTTTTTAATATTATCAGCTGAAAATATCAGCATTGCAGTGCTCAGTTTTCAGTATTAATTTGTACCAGAATGATCTGTTTAACATTTCAATATAGAGAAAGTAATTTATTCAGGGAAGAGTTCTTTCTTCCAGGGGAATTAATTTTTATTAATATTATTCAGTCATATTCCATGTGCTCAATCAAAGTACCCAAATTCTAAGTTGTTGTGGCTCTTTAAATCTCAAATTGAAGTTTAACTGTTCCTCTGTAAGTCTATATTAATTGCAATAAAATAAAGGTCATAGTATTCTACTGGGCATTATTTATATT